GGAATATTGGGCCACGTAAATTCCAAATAGGCCTGTTTGCTTCTTCTTTTTTCTTATGGCAATGAAAGGTAATTGATTTTGAGTTGCTTATATACAAAGGTTTTTACTTTGATAAGTTTAAACTATCTTTTCTGAGAATTAGAGGTACATGAAAATTACCTAACATACTTGTTTAAAAGAGTGACAGTTGTGAAATATGAGCTTTAGGTTTCTAAATTTTTTTGTTTAGGGTTTCAAAAAATAAAAAAATTGTTTCAAAAAAGAAAAAAAAGGTTTCTAAAATTTTTCACACATAAAAAAAATCTGGATGCAACAAATTCCCCTACTTGCGACGTAATTTTACCCTTGCATTCTTTTGTAAAATCACACATACGAAAAAAATAAAATGGTGATTGGTGAATGATATTTTTTCCGTAGTGAATAAAGTCTACCATTATAAATATATATATGAAGGTTAGTAATACATACAACAAAAGAAAGGTTAGTAGACCACAGATTAATAATGCACAATGCCACAATAAAGGATTGATATCGGATAATATTGATTTGATGATACTTTTCTAGAGTTAAAGATACCTTACAAATCGTTGTCAGTGCTTCTAATCCGCGTTATTAGGTCAAAAGATAACACCCCTCTTTCTCTAAACTTAATCCATAAAAAAATGTCTGGTTAGCTCTAAGAACTTGGTTGTGAAGAAAGAGGAAGAAATATAAGGCAACCTTGAATGTTTGTTTTTATATGAATATCTATTTTAATGTTTGTTATTCCTTTTAAAAAAATTTCTGAGATGATTCTTTGTGGATTTCATGGGGGCTACAAATCTGAAATTCGTATATTCCTTGAACTTGAAAGAAAAAAACAACTCGTACATGAAAAAGAGATTGTAACTTTGTAAGGAAAACAAAGACTGTCCATTACTTCAGTGTGCATATCCATCTTTATTCGTTCGTCAACGATTTTCTTTATATGTTTTGATGTATCAAGGTCTTGCCGCATTTATTTGTTTTTATTGAAAAAATTAATGTCAAGAATTATTAAAACTATTATTTAATCGGAATAAAAAAAGTTAAAATTATTAAAAGAACCATTTAAATTTTTATTAGAGAGAAACAGAATCTACTTCTGGCTATTCATGACAACCTTCGCAGAATTATTATTATTTTTTAATTTTTTTCCCGAAAATAGAAATGGATAGAAAAAGTGTTTGACAAAGTCGATTTATTTTTTTGTTCACGAAAATGAACAAGCTCAATTTCTGTGCTGCGGAACAGAAAAAAGAATATTTTTATTTTTATTTTTTTTGTTCTCGGGCACAAAATGAAAAATATTTATCTCTCTCAATCACTTTCCACCACTATTATCATCATCATCACCACCACCATCCTGACGTTAGCATCGACACCTCCATGCCACCGCCACCATCACAACCACCACCGCTATCGCCACCACCACCACTACTATCACCAACCATTGCCGCAGCCACTGGCGTACCATCACCACCACTACCATCACCATGTCACTGCCACCGCCACCACCACCACACCATATGAAAACGAAAATGATGATTCAAATTTTTTTTATGCTCAATAAGAATAATTTTTATTCTATTATTTGTTATGTTATCAAACACAATTCTAATTATCGGAATAAAAATAAAACATATTATCAAACACATTTTTTTCTCAGAAACTGTTTCAAGGCACGGAAATAGAAAAGAATTGTTTTGATTACCAAAAAAAAGAAAAGAATTGTTTCTTTTCATAAACAGAACATAATGTTGTCATGCACATCCTAATAGTAAAAAATTTCCTTTATCAAAATTTAAAGATCTTCATTTCAAAATTCAACTTTTTTAAAATATATTTTTATTATAGACTAATTTTAAACCCTTTTAATTAACTAATGTAGACTCTATTGTTGCTTTTATACAATGTTCATTTATATATGCATGCGATAATTATTTTATATATTTTTTAAGAGTTCGCTTTTTCTACCGTTACTGCAGATAAGTAATCTACAGTAAGCCCAATACGATGTCATTTTGGAGCAGAAGTCATAGTGTTTTTGTAATTTTAATTTATTTCAGAGTTATAATAGTCTTTATATTTATAATTCTTTAAGATTTCAATATCAAAACGACGTTGTTTTGAAAATAAATACAGATAACTTATCTGCAGTAACTGCAGAAATATTTTTCTCATTTTTAATAAGATAAATATATTTTTTTGCAAGTTGGAGGAGATTATTTTATCTACTGCACTCATATGAAAGTAGGTCAAACTCACTTTTTATCTTTCTCTATGCTCTCTGTATAGGACTTCATCTACTCTTATACTTGTGTAAGAGATAAAGTTATTTTGTGTTTGTAGGTGAAACATCAAATCCTTTTTTAATTGCAATTGGGTGATATTTCTAGGTAATACATTAATTAAATTACATATCTAGATGTAGCCAAAAGTATTGCGACATGAAATTTGACTAAAATTGATAGAATTGTGGCTGGAACATGTGACAAACTTACAATATTTTGATACACTCATTTTTGTAGTTAGGACTAAGGAAGATCCTTATGGTTTAGATATTTTATATTTTAAAAAAGGTTTCTTATATATATTTTTGGAATGTGAAATTAATTGTTGTTCAAAATATTAAAATTATCCTCTTTCCCAATTATTATTTTTTGAGCTCAAACCCTTCTACACTTTTTTGGTATATAAAAATGTAATTTATAATCAAATAAATTCCTATCTTTAATAGTATTTAATAGGGGAAACACTATAGAAATAATTATTAAAAAAAGGCAGATAATATGGAGAACCATTGAATCATGTAAGTTCGAGTTTAGGTAAACAAAATCTGATATAATTAACAGCATAACAGTTTACCGAAAAAAGAAAAAAGAAAACAGTATAACACATACACCTATGCATAGATAAATATAGTGGTGTAAAATTATGTATAATATTATTCATTTAACAATATATACATAAATTATATATAATCCTCTTAATATGTGCAAAGTCATTGCTGTTGGGAAATTCGTTCCCTCAAACTCCAATGTCAAGCGGGTCCAGGGAAAACCCGTGGCGGGGAACCACCACCAATGAGCTAAGGCTACACCAACCGTAGCAAGTGGATCCGACACCATGTCTCAACCCAAAACTTTAAGGGGGTGTTTGGTTCAAGTTTTTGGAGAGGATTACCGGTAATCCTTCTTTGGTAAATGTAATTACCACGTTTGGTAGAAGGAATAAATTACGATTCCCGGATATCCAAGGATTACCGGTAATTTGATTTATAAAGAAAAGTCACTATTCAGATTACCAAAAATAATATGGTAATTCGGAATACCAATCAGAATACCAAGTAAAGGGAAAGCACAACAATAAATTTTGAGACAAAAATACCCCAATACACATAAAAATCTAGACCCAATCTATCAATTACAAAAGTAAAAATAGTTTTGGGTTATTTTTGTAAAATAACCTCATATTCCAAGTCATATTTCGTTCTATACCAAATATGGAATAAGTAATTTTTACCCAGTATTCCCGGTAATATTTTGGCGAACCAAACACATCTTTCGTAAGATTCCAAGTAAACTCAATTTCTACTGAATTCCCATTAATCAAGATTCCCGGTTACCAAAAAATTTCTCCTATACCAAACACACCCTAAGGCATTGGGTTCATGGGTCCTTCCACCTATATACTCTTCACTTAGCTCATTACCAACCAATGTGGGACTCATCACACTTGAATATCTCAACAATCTCCCCCTCAAGTGTGAAACCCACCATTGGTATGCTCCCCCTCAACCGAGTACCCGATGAGGGGGAGCATACCAATGGTGGGGAACCACCACCAATAAGCTAAGGCTACACGAACCGTAACAAGTGGATCCGACACCATGTCTCAACCCAAAATCTTAAGGCATTGGGTTCATGGGTCCTTTCACTTATATACTCTTCACTTAGCTCATTACCAACCAATGTGAGACTTATCACACTTGAATATCTCAACAATTGCAGGGTGTAACGCTAAAATTTTTATAGAAATTAACGTAGAAGTGGATGTTTATGTATTTATTTATTTTATCACAGACGTCATGTTACTGCCACAAAAAGCAATTCCCGTCACCTGATTAGAAAGATCATTCATGCGTAGGTCCCCGTGTGACCTCACGACTAATTTTGGCCACTTTTTTCTATGTTCTTTCTAAAGAAAAGCAAGAAGGGGTCCGCCAATTAATGCGTACCCTTTTAAACCGATCAAGGCCTGAGTCAAGTCTATGAAGATGAAGTATTGAAGATTATCCAATAGACACAAAAAGAAGAAACAATATGCATTCCTTGTTTGGGCCATATAGCTGGCAATGGCATATTTACATTACATGGGTATGAGACTACCTTGATACCAATATAATATATTCCATGGAGATGCCGATCGAGTCTCAAACAACACTTACTAGAATTAATTGCACGCCAGCTCTACTTGGCTTCACCACTCACTAATGTTTTATAAAAATTTCCAAAAGCTACCAAAAGATAAAGGTTACAAAACACGATAAAAAAGTATACCCTCAAAATCCCTACATCGTACTTCCAATAACGCGGGGCTTCTCTAAGCCACTACAATGCATGCAAGCATATTCTCCTTTCCTACCTAGAAATTAAGAAAAAGAAATTCAACCCCAAAAAGAAAAAAAAAAAGAAAAAAAAAGAAAAAAAGAGATAAGGAAGTAGCTTCTAGCAAGCTAGCATTACTATAATTCCACACCTTGGTTCAGGACGTAGGGGAAGGAGAGGGAGCGATCAAGCTCGAAATGTTCTAGCTAGTTTCTTAATTCAGAGAATTTTATTAAATATAGTAACATAGCTAGTAAACCAAACGACATATATGAGCTTAATTTGATATAGGATCAATATATAAATTATATATATATATATAGTCTCATTACTTTGCTACTGTTTGGTTTAAACTCGAGTAGTGCTCAAGGGCTATTGTGAAAGCATGGTGCCTAAAATCCCATATAGATCCGAAAGTGTGGCCAAAAGGGCAACAGATTCGGATCTTAGTTGATCATTCTGTAGGGATAGTAGGAGATGCTGATGCATGGTGTAGGCTAGTCGGTTTTTCAGTTCTCGGTTTTCAATTCTCAACCGGTTCACTTGGTTCCTGAGGTTCTCTAAATGCTTCTTCTTTCTGTAGCGGGACCGTCTGGCCGAATCCCGGTTCGACTGCATGCGCCTGAGCTTTCTTTCCTCTGTCGAGTAAACCACCCGGTTTGATCCTTGTGAACCGGAGCTTGGGCTGGCCGGGTCTCCAGATTGATTAATGAGGGAAAACAGGGATTGTATTTCACTTTCTGTCAGCATGGTTTCGAGAACCGGAGGGCTTGGGAACTGGACCGCTTCGTCGTCGTGGAAGGACATGGTTGGCTTAACTGTAGCAGCAAGTAAGTAAGAAAGAAAGAAAGAGAGAAACAAAAACCGGAAAATTCAAAGAGTGAACCGGAGAGAGGAAGGAAGGGGAAAAGGGAGGAAATGAAGTAGAGGGGAGGGGTATTTGAAGGAGGAAGTGGGGAGACACGTGGGGTCCACTAGAGCATAGGATTTTGGAAAACAAAGGGCATATTCGTCCCCAAAAAAATATAAAAAGTAGGGTTCAGATGTTTGCATGAGTGCCTTTTTCATTTTAACAAAAACAAATGCTGCACACCACCAAATTCCATGCAAACTTTAATGTCAGGTGGCATGGTGGTGGTGGTGGGGATTTAGATGGGGTAAGCTTTTTGGTTATGGTAAGAGAATTGGAGTCTTTGGGAAGATTAGGTTTAACTTAATAACGAAGGATCAAACAAAAACATATAAACAACAAACTGGATAAGAAAGTTGCCAGAAACCACAACACTTGTGCGCCGAAGTCATTTTGGAAACGCGCACTTGAGGTGAAAAAGTCAGTGAAAGTTGCCCCGACGAACATTAAAAAGAATAAAACATTAAGGTAAAGTGGGACTAACTAACCACTGCTTAGTACGTGAAAATTTGTCACTCGTTAGCCCCATCCCCATGCATCCACGCGTTAGTTAAAAGCCTCAATCATTTGGTGATTTTACACAAACCAATTAAAAATCAAGAGATTTTCCAGGTTACTTGATCACAAATAATTAAGAACTTTTTTTTTTTTTTTTTGGGTTATACATGCATATATCCAGTAAACTTTTCTCATTTGGGTGGAAGCACTGTAAACTTTTTAACTGTACAGTTTACACAATTTGATTCTTCCTATCTATCCAAAAGTTGCTCATTGAAAAACAAAGAAACGTAACTGACACTTTATCATGATAAAAATATATTTAATTTGGTCGATTGACTATACAAATAATTTTCCGTCATCAGTAAAGTATATTGTGTCATCTGTTGAATTTTTTTCTTTAATAAGTAAAAAGCTTTAGTTATCATAATAATATGATACGTTCTTGTTTAATAATTAATTAGAGAAAGGGCTCCTGAGTTATTGCAAGCGTAAATTGTCTAAATGACCAATGGAAGTCTCTAGCAAAAGTTATATATATATATATATATCAAGTAGCTAAATTGTGTAGATGAAAGGGATATGTATGAACAAATATACAAAAGTTACTGGCTAATTCAAAGTTTGTGGATATGAATATATTAAAAAAAATCAGCAAAATTCAAGATCTATCAAGCTATCAAATGTGGACGAAGACATAGAAGCATGCATACATATATCTGTCTTGATTTATACATATCAAGTATATTGTTCATCTACTATTTTTTCCAAATTGATATGAATTGGTCTAACGATGGCAAAGACTTACAGACATTGCTATATCTGACGTATGACCTTCAAGTTATTTATTAGAGAATAGAAAGGAATATTCTTGGCTAGTTTTTCCTTGTTGAGCATTCTTTTGGGGCAGTTTTGTTTTGGTTGGCAGTTGTTTCCCCTGGACTGTTTGCAAATATTAAAGCAACTGCATGTGAATGGAGGATAACATGCAATCACTTCTATTGCCATTTTAGTTAACCTTGATTAATCCAATGATGCAAAAATATAATTTAACTATCATGCACTTCTTTAAACGTGCTAAAGTAGTAGGTTGCATGTGCTGCAAGTAAATTTAATGGAAAGAAGAATAGTACCATTTGGGTGCTTCTACTTTATCTGCTGTGTGCACTATATATGCATGGCTTGTCCCTTTAGCCACTGATCTGTTTCCTTTGCTTTTACCTTCGCACCCTTGAGGCCGTGATAACATTACAACTGCATCTCATCTTATGCCGTTAGTTAGTTAGTTCTTGCTTCTTTAGACAATAGGAAGCAAATCTCCAAAAACACAGGGAAGGACGTAATGGGAAGGGTCATCACTCATCTAAAGAATCATGATACAATTTGTCCCCAAATTCGTTTTTTTGTTTGTTGGCCTCTCTTCTCAAACCATTACAATTTAGAAGAAACAGCTGGACGAACTCAATGAAAGAATTGCAAATATATTTTTGAATCTTCGATCCGAAATTTCCACTCTCTTTTAAGTGTGAGTCTAATCTAGTATAGATAGGATTAAATATATTTGGTCATTGGTAAAGGGTGCAAAGTTATTTGACCCAGAAAATTAGTACAGTTATCCATAGCACTAACAATTAAGAAAAGTGGCTGTAACGTGTGTATGATGACAAAAGGAAGGGGTTACAATGTAGCATGTGATACAGAGAACAAACTACACTGCTAAACTAAATTGTAAAAAAAAAAATAAAAAAAAATTAAGTGTGTATCCTCTTAAAGGATATAACCTTATATCGTTTCACCTCTTATAATTATGTACCGTGGAGAGTACATAATTATAAATATGAAAGTTGCTTTTTTCTTTTTTTTCCACGTCAATTGACAAAATTTTGAAAAAAGAAAAACTTTAATATTATAACTATGGGTTTTCGTTTTATCCTTTAACATAACACAACAAACTTTCCTACACTCACAACATTTTGTGGGGCCCACACTTTTTAAAACAAAAAAATAAATAAAAAATTAAGGCACGCAAAACGAATCTCTATAACATTATTACACAATCACTTTTCCTACAACATAACTCTTATAAAACCCTATAACTATATATTTTCTAAAATATATAGTTATAAAGAGCTGAAAGGATCTAAGCTTATATAGCACAAATAATTTTCCCAAAAGAAAAAAGATTAGATTCTCGAGGATTATACACTTCAAATATGTGTTACTGTAATCAAAATTCGTGTATTCCATGTAATATATCAAATACCCAGAACATATGGTATGCTTGGTCACGTAATGGACATTACATAACCGGACTCAGTGCGGATTGGTTCATTTTGCCAATCAGGAATCCTATTCCTAGGTGTAATGTCAATTGCCTCACCAGTCTCCAAGAGACAAGAAAATTAAAGAATCCCTTTCGGATATGTAGAAAGAAACTTCTCCGCACGTCTAGAGGACCTTGTCATTAATGGGGGTAAATAGGGGAAATTTTTATGATACAACCGTGGTACCATTTTTCCAGTGGGAACACCAATAAAAAATGGAGAGAAAATGTGAAAGTGAGATAAAAAAAAAATAAAAAAAATCCAAGCGGCGAAATTTGAAATGGTATCAAAAGTAGGGGTGTAAATGGGCTGGGCTGGGCTGGGCTTTGGCCATCCTGGCCCAAGCCTACGTCAAAAAAAATTCAGCCTATCTGGCCTACTGGCCTATTAAAGGCTTTATTTGTAGGCCAAGCCCGACCCATTTTCAAAAATAAGAAAGCCTGACATGGCCTACAGGCCTTGTAGGCCTCCCACTATATATACTAAGCAAAAAATAATAATTGTATAGAGCAAAGAAAGTTCCATTCATGCATGCACTAGTACTTCTCATAAGAAAAAAATGACAAACAAGAAAGAGTCAACATAATACCTCAGCTCTAGAATGTATATCATAGAGGAATAGAGTCAAAGAAATGGGAAAAATAAAAAAAATACAATTAGTGGATGCTGAAACAAAGTCTACAAGAGAATGTCATTCATCTAAAAATCTTTAAACCACCATCAAGACAAGGGAAAGAAGAGCATTATTGAAAGATCTTCATCAGTAACATCATAATCCAGCAAGGTACCCATTGCTCCATGGTATTAAGCTGCAACAGCATATAAAATTTGGAGACATTAGACAAGTTTTCCTTTCGTAAAATAAAATAGCACAAAAAGTAAGAGATATTGGTATTTGGTACTTTGTGTCTTTGTCACATAAAATAAATATTATTTTATTATTTTATTTTAATAAATTAAATAGGCCAGCCTACAAGGCCGTAGGCCGGGCTTGACAAAATTGGCCTATGGCCTATTTATTAAAAAAGCCTTTTTATAAGCCTAAGCCTACTCTACTTTTCTGAAAGGCTGGGCCTAGGCTGGGCTTAATGTAGGCTGGGCCGTAGGCTGGGCTGGGCCAGCCTGGCCCATTTACACCCCTAATCAAAAGTTTGCTCGTAAATAGGCAGCTGGTTTACTGCGGGAATTACGCTCAGGCCAGATCTTGGTAGTAGTATATTAAGGTTTAGCATAATTTTTTTTTTTATAAAAAAAACAGATTATAGGCCAACCTTGGCCTATAAATCTATAGATCGATATATATTATATTATTTATTATTTAAAAATAAAAAAAGTTATTATTTAAATAATTTTAATTAATAAAATATATATTATTTAAATTATTTTTTTAATTCTTGATAAGTTTAAAAGGTCTAATCTAATTTATCTTATGTCAAATTAATAGACCTGACCATTTCAGGCTAAATCCTAACCTATTTACATCCCTTATTTGCCATTGTTAAACTTGTTCAAGTGATAATCTATTTTGATCGTTATTCAACTAATTATTTTCCAGTTAATTTCTTTTTGATTTAGCAGAAGAAATAGCAATTCATGAATCATCTGCATGAACTAATGTAAAATGGTAATTTTGAAAGATGCCATAAAAATTTACTTATTTCCCATCATTAGATGCTTGCAAATAAAAAACACACACTACCTATTGATTTTCTCAAAAGCTACTGATATAATATTCGGTAGTAATATTATTACTCTCAGTAGAATAACTTGCATGGAAGAACCGCTGCATTATAGAGCAAGACAATACTAATAATTAAGCAAACAAGTAATATAATAAACTTTTGTTATCGAAAAGATAAAATATTTGAATAGTAACATAAAATAATAAAATAAAAATATATGGATCAACCAACGAAGGTTGGCACAGCTGAATAAACCTTCCACCCACATTAGCTATGGCTTGGATTTAAGTCACCAGGACCAGGAGCAATGGATGATGTTAATTATAAAGATTAACACTAAAAAAAGTGATTAAATACCTTTTTAATAAATAAATTCATCTACCTGTCCTCCCTATTAAAAGTCCCATTTTCTAGTGGCAAGCGCTGCCCGCGTGTAGTTCAGCTTCTTTGACCCGAGACTAATTTCTTTTGCATTATCCTCCCGTAAGAATTGGCTAGAAGGGACAAACAAATTTATTTTTTATTTTTTATTTTTTAAAAAAAGAGCTTACCTTAACACGAACCTGGTAAGTGGTAGTGTGGCAATAGCAATAATCCAACATATATACCTACTAATATATATTTATCAACATTTATAACCAGATTCAACAAATTACCGCGGGATACGCAACCCAATACCAAATATGCACACTTCTGCGCATGCACGTGCAGCATGTACCAAAGACCACTGTCAGAATGAAACGAATTTCATAACTCAAGACATTGTGTGCTCACAGATATCATCTCCATTTCGATTTTCATTGCGCCCACAGATACATTGGTCACATGTTCACTGGAGGAGCTCCCTAAATATGACAATCACATGATCATAATCAGTACCCGTCAAGTGAAAAGTATCAGTGCAATAAAATCAAAACAGTAGCAATAAAAAATGAGAATAAAAACATGTCCCTCAGCCACTTCAGTTGGGTATGCTATTTAATTAATTCGTAATGTGATGATGTTAGAGAAACATTCCAAAACCATGCAAATTGTCAGGTCCAAATGCAAATAAACATTTTTTTTTTTTTTTTTTTTTGATAACAACAAATAAACATTTTAACACAGAATAGATTAAGATTCTTTGCGTTACTTTTAATCTATGAATTTTATAGTAATTATGTTATTTAGGATATTGAGATATTTTCTTATTTTTAGGGATTTTATCTGTAATAAGATATATAAGGAAATTTATATTTTATTAAGATTTTGTATCTAATTAGGATTTATCCAAGATTATTATTATCTCTGCATTATAAATACCTTTTAGGTGCTTTATGTAATTCACACTTTTTGCATAATTAATTACTGATATTTCGTTTCCTTCAAAAAGCATCTAATTTTTGAGTCGGAGAAGCAGTCCACTCTAAAAGAACACACTAGATTTATTAGATGAGTATCCTCCTATCAAGAGGAATAGTCTTGATTACCGTTTATTTATTAAGGGGGATACCCTATCTTGGTTTATCAGTTAGGAGAGTAACCTACCAAGAGAAGCACTCTTGGATTGTCCTACGTCCCGCTTTCTTAAAAGCAATGTCAATATGTCATTTCACTTAACGGTAACTGGTCAATGCAAAACCTCACCTTAAACAGAAGATCATACGCTATATACTCCCAGGGCAATGATATGGACATTAAGCTGCATTTCAAAGGTATCATTTCATCAAAATTTGAGCTGGAGGCAGAGGCAGAGGCAGCTGCATAAGCATGCCTTGCTGCTACTGAAGCAACGGATGCTGCTCTGCGGACAATTACGCCAAGCCCGAACCCTTTCTTGGATATAACTGGAGAAGATGGGCCTGAATCCAGCTGGCTTTGATCTGATATTGCAACAGATAGACTCCATTTCATCCATGTTTCTATCTAACATTTAAATAATAAAATTGGAACTTTAACTACACACACTAGCTCCATAACACAATTGGTGAGAATAGTCAGACAAAAAAGTATTGCCTGTGAGGCTTTGATCGATCTCCTAAGTATTCAACTCTAGAAGTACTTGCTAATATGATAGAATATAATTTAATATGCAATCACATAACATAAAACAACAATAATATGTGAAAAATGTTTCGCCAGATGAATGTTAAGTCATATTTTATATCATTTTCTTATAATAAAGAAATTCAGGGAAAGAAAATATTCTAGCATTTCAATACAAAATTCGGAAATCCCACCCATAAAAAAGTTGCCTACCTGCAACGCCAGAAACAGCTACTTCAACTTCTCCTCGACCTCCAGGACCTTTCATGTAAATCCTATCTGCTTTGCCAGGAGAATGGCCTACTGATAAAAGGCTCCCAAATCGAGACTTGCCAGCTGCAGTGCAGCAAGGGGGAATATATAACTAAATAGTGAGACAACAGATATATGGTATGAGGCACCCAATAGCTATTTATAATATAATAAACTTGTAAATTTCACTATATAAAGGCAATAAAGTGTTATGGTAAGCATTCAAGTAAGGAAAGTCTCTTCTAAAAGAAGCAAAAAACAAAGAAGGCTACTAAGGATTAATCTACGGCATCGAACTGCATTACATATGATACGAAGATGTCCGTAAATAGGATTTATGAAAAATCATAAAATGGCTGAGCACTATTGTCTTTTTAGCACAGATGAATAAAATTTCTCAACTATAGTTAATGAGTCGTAAAAGTTTCATAGGTTCCAAAGACGTTACATTACATATCAAGTGCAGATCAGGGATACATCCACATCAAAATACCTTTAAGAAATTGCAAAACACTGGTGACATAAGATGTCAAATGTGCAAAAATATGTCCCCAACCATTCGCTTTGTAGATAAAACATTCAAAAACATTGCTGAAAATTATAAAAGCAAATATTTAAATAGAGGGTACTGTAGGAAAAATTACCATCATATGCATCACGAACCATCTGATAGCTGACAAATCCTGAGAAAAGGGTAAGCTGCAAATCAGAGATACCAGAGAATCAGTGTCTAAAAATTAATTATTAAAGAACTTCTGTGCTGCAGTATCGTTTGTAGATCCTCTCATTTAAGAAGATACTAAGATACATCAGGGAGAAAGTATTGAAAATAATACTCCATTCATCCATGAAAAAAGGCATGTTTGCAGTGACTTTGTTGTAACGTTCATACATTTTTGGTTGCAGGAGGAACCAAGTTTAGACACTATTCAAACTTGCATTTACTTTTTCTATTCATGGGTTAACAGAGAGCGTCTCAGAAAAAGTCACACCAATATATTAAAACCTATTAGGAACTAACATGGATTTTGTCTTATTTTCTATACCCAAGTTGTCTGTAAACAGCAAATTTCATCTGTTTAAGACCTGAAGTTCTTCTTGCCATTGATTTTAATTTTCTAAATAGCAGATACATACGAATGTAGTAAGAATAGCTTCAACTATAAATGTCCATGCTGTATTTAGCAAAGATGTAAAGACAATAATTCACATTTCAATGATAAGCAAAAGCACTATCTGAGCACTGCCGTGCTCAAAAGTGACAATTGCTTCAACTGCATATTTCATTATTAAAGCACATAAAAGCAGTATACAGTCTATGCTATGCAACATCTAAGTAAAACAGGCAAATGAGGTATAAAGAATAATTAATCAATTAAAAAATATCTAGACTAGAAAGCACTAATCAGAGTTTCAAAAAGTTCAAAAGAAAATCAATTTCAATATAGCAACTGAGAATTAATCAGACCTTAGTATCCTTTTTCTTGGCAGAACTTGTATCAACTTCCAGAGAAGAGTTATCACTAGTACTGCAATCATTGGACACCTTTTCCCTTGGAAATGCTGCCCCATCATGTGCGTTAAGAACAACACAAAAGCAATGATCTTTTTCAGTCAAAACCTGCGGGAAATGAAATGACCAAGGCTTATTTTATGAAGTGATCAGAACCAGAATGCAAAAAATATTTTATGATCTGTCTATTTCTAAAAAAGAGGCAAGTAAAGAACAATGAACCAGGAGCAAGAATTTTGAGAGAAAATAAATAAAACATGACAATGTGAATAAAGATTTTAGCACCTACAATAATCAAAATTTCCAGCTCATAACTGCACAACATAACAATTAGCAATTAACAAGAGCAGCCATTAATCTGCACCAAAGTTATTGAAAATTATACGTTTTTTAAGAAAGTTTCATCACCACATGTAAATAAAAAAGTGGAGCATTCAGGTAACGTTTTTGTTAATATGATACTTGTAGCAGTGGTAAAGCTATACCTTTGTAACTAAAAGGTCATAGGTTCAAATATAGAAAACAAACTTTTTGCAAAAATGCAAAGTTAAGCTTGCGTACAAGAATTTCTTCATCCCTACCGTCACAAGTCGGGGTTTCATTTCATGGGGAGTTATTTTATGAAACTATCAAGATAAGACAAAGCATATTTCAAGTACTATTCTTGGACGTCTTAGTTAATTACAAAATGTGAAACACAAAGGATATTGAATACTTAAAGACTCCCTACATGGCAATGCAATTTAAAGTTTAACAATAACTTACTAAAATGGTATATTACCACAGCATCAAATGTGGAGTCAAAATCATCAATTGCAAAACAAATATCTGGATAAGCAGGTGTTGTTTCCACTTCCTACACACATGTCAATGGCCGTGTAATTGTCAATAAAATTACAAAAATGTCAACTAAAGATTGTATTCCTTTTATCTCCCCAAGGATATATAAAAAAGAGAGGTATACTTGCCTTTTCAGAGTCCAATTGAAAATTTACGCGACTTGGAGATGCATAAACAGTCTTCACAACCTGAGAAAGTGCAATGGGCGATGTTGCCAAATCAGAACACATTTTATACATATATTTAAATATAGAGTTTCAGATATCTTGAACTTCCAAGACACCACTGTTGAGTCTATATTACTGGGAAACAACTGCATTGGCTTAAAGTTTCACCAAAAAAGGGACCCTATAATCCAAAATCATAAGAATAGAGCCTTATTTTCAACTTCACAAACACCAACAATGGTTGATCACAGAAAAGAACAAAAATGACAGGCATGCACATCCTCAAAACCATAGCTATTTTAAAGGGACAAAAGTACTTTTATCAAAAAATCGGATGTGTTAAAAAACATAATGCTGTAGGATGTAGAAGGGAATATTAGAACTATGAAGGAATTAAACTATGGATACAATTTACAATAATTGGGAAAGGTTGAGAGCTAGGGTTCCAGGAAATCCTTGATCAGAATGTCAACAAAATCAAGATCAAGAACAGAGGTAGAAGGAGAATCTATTAATCTGACAATTACAGAATCTATAAATCACTACCAGTAAGAAAAAGAATCAGACTTTCAAAATCTGAATGCATTCAAACTGAAATCATCATTTACTAAAAGTGGCACAAACAACTCTAATGGGCCTTGCTAAGACAATTACTCACTACTCAAAATAATTAAAAATGATTTAAACAGCCCAAAAGACTGACTAAAAGACAGAAATAAAAGCCTGAATAAAACCTAAAGAGCTAGACCTCCATTGAAGAAACTAAGGCGCACAACCTGCCAAAGCAGTAGCTTGAAAAGTGTCTAACTGCAAAAATCAATTTAACTTCCAGACAGGACGTGCTTCACTATCATTCCACCAAATAGGGGTTGGGGTTGATAAATCTGCCCCTTTTTATACCTTAAGCTGATACATATTGCAAGATTTGTAAATCTAATTATCTTTCTTCTGGATATTCACAAACAAAGAAGGTGGAACTAATAAAAAGTGAACCAAATTTTATCTTTTATAAACACTTCTAAGTAGAGGAAGTGAAGATAACTCAATTGTTAGACAAAGATTCATTACACTACATTTACCTTATAAATAGGGGATAAAGGTGTATCCTGCCCAGCTTGATGGTTCTGAAGAACCTGGTGACTAGAGAAATAGATAGTTTGAATCAAATTGCCTGGATAAATGTTTATGATTATGAAGAACAAGCAAATAATAACCCTAAACTGAAAAATTTTATAAAGCTTATGCAAACCCTTTCATGGTCTTTTAAAAAAAACATACAAGAGTTTTCTACTTTAAAGTTGCAGAATGTTTGAATCGGAATTTAGAAAGTTACTCTAATTATGACCAACAAATATAATGATCCGATATTAATTAGTATAAAAAAACTGATTAAACTGAAATTGACTCTGGTATTTGTCATAAAGGAAAACTTGCTGACCAGAAATGGCCATATAAGGATACAATCATACAACTTATCAATCTTGGTAACATTTTGAGAAAACGAGTTAAATTAGGAATCCATTCTCCGTAGACCATGCACAAATCAATTGATGCGTGCAAATGACAATGAAACAAATGAAATCAGTTAAAGGCAACCTGAAACTTAAAATTAGGCATGGCGAAACACAATTGTGGACAGGAAATTAAGGAAAGAAAATCATTACCTGCAAATTGCAACAGTTACACTGAATGATGTATGAGCAATTAAATTCAAGTAAAATGAACGCCTCCAGTCCACATCTATAGAAGTTTCGTCAATTAAGTTGCTCAACTGGCGGACAAAAGAGTGAACAAAATTATTTGGCATCACAATGGATGGACAACCAAATCCTATGTAAATAACCAAATAAACATGAATTCCATTGACACTCCAATGCCTATACCAACACTTTTCACCTTAAAAAATAGAATTGGCTCACAAAGTAAATAATGTCATTGCACATAATCAGCAAATATCTTAATGTTATCAATTCTTATCACAATCCAACCCATACTACCCCATGGTCAACTACTATGAAGCCAGAAGTTATGCTAAGCTCATTCTCAAACAAATTAACATGAGGTCTAACCTTAAATTCTAGTTTTCTTCTTCTTTTTTTAAAGGCAACCCGAGATTCTGCCTAAGAACAAATTTTAACCCAGAGGAGGTCAGACCAAAAATTGACATTACATTAGCATGCTGGTTCGTTATAAGCAATTAATAGTGTTTAACAGTTAAATATCCATGAATTCCATTGACACTCAAACAACTATACAAACAGCTTTCACCTTTGATTGCAAGAAATAGGGGTGAAGAATAAATCTATAATAAACATTTTTTCCAACATGTTTTTGCTCCTTTTTGCAGATGCAAATGATTCAGACAGAAAGACAAATTAGAAAACTAGTCTGATATCTATGAAGGACACAGGGAAAAGAGTCTATGTAGTGTGAAGTACATTAACAATAAGCACTAGATAGTAGATACTGTTTGAACTTCAGCAGAACTCACATAACTAGTCTCTCTGTGTGTGTGTATACATAAGAGAGCGCCAATAGATTTTAATGTTGAATTTACCTTAGGTGCCCACCTGCGTACAAAATAAGGATCTACACTATCTGCATTACCAGAACCTTGGGAACCCTGTGGGAAAAGACTTCTAAAAGGATCAACAATATTGCTTCCAATCAAACTTTACAAGAAAATAATTATAATAATAATAACCTAAGGATTGTAAATCATTATTACCCCTGGTGAAAAAAGATAAACAAATCAACCCAAAAAATTTGAAGTCAGAAAAGATATACCAGTTTTCTGACAAAGAAAACGAGATCATCATCTTGGCGTCCCCTTGACTCCTTGCCACGGACAAAGTACAAATCAAAGACATCATGCCAAAACTTCATATCCATTTCGACATCAGGAGCATCTTGCTCCTCAACTACCGTTTTCCCTATCAAGTTGGAGTGCTTCTTCACCATGCTTAACAATTCACACCTTAGGAACAAAAATAGGAAAGAAAGGAAAGAACGCACGATGCAGCATATCATGTGAGGTTGCAATTTCATACCACAATCGAATTATAAAATTGGATATGAAATGAGGAGACAAAGAGAGAGAATGAGATAGTGAATGTACCTTGAGGGGGTTTCGCCTCCATCGCCAAGCATTTCTTCTGAGCAGCTTTTTCACTCACTAAAATTAATGGTTAAGAGAACTAATCTAGTCTAGGGTTTATGACCAAAATTCGTAGGCGATTTGATACCAACGCAGTACTAGTTTCTATTCCTAACAGTGCGCCAGAGGCAGGAATGGAGCAGTTGTTTGTTCGGTGCTTACGCACTCCAACTCTTGGTTCTTTGTCATATTAACATTCATATATTATAAGCTTGTCACTTCAGCCAACAAAGTCGTTGTAGTATAGTGGTGAGTATTTCCGCCTGTCACGCGGACGACCCGGGTTCGATCCCCGGCAACGGCGATTTGAATATTTTTGATGACATTAGGAAAACAACCAAAAATTACAAAAAAACAAAACGAATCCGAAGTCATGCAACAATCCTAGAAGGCATATATATGCGGGATTCTATTTTTTGACGATTAACTCAATACTTGTATATTTCTTCTTCTTCTTCTTTTATATATAGTAAAAGCACCCTCAGGTTAGCTTCAAATGACTAGGGTTAAATTGTTGCCTCAACTATCTTAAGCCTATTTTAATCATTTAATTTAACCTTGTTCTATGTGACTTATGTCTCATCATAAATGTGGGTAAATAAATCAATCAGGTTATAGAAAATTCCGCTATGTGTTAAGCTTTTGACAATGTCTGAAACACAAAACTACAGTAATAGTGAGGTTTTAAACTTTTTTTTTATTAAAAAGTACATGTATGTATTTGAATATGAGCTTAAATTATACTTGATAAAAGTTTATCCTCTTATTGCTGTTTTCATTTTAAAGTTTTCTAATTGAGTTCTGGAATATCCAAACTTGGTGAGGAATGATATATAATTTAGTAACAATTAATTCTTTAAATATCCTGTTAATTATTTAAACGGTAAACAAAAAAAAAAAGAGAAAGAAGAAATGTTTAATATTTTGAATATTTTATGTTTTGTGATTTTAATATTATGTTTCACCTTAAACTAGTTTTTTTTTTTTTTTGAAACATCAGAAAAGAAACACAACAAATTAGGCACAAAGCCTATGCTAGTGAACTCTCACATTGTCATGCAGAAGATGGTGCAAACACCCCGGAGGAGGATTCTCCGGCAACTGAACCGTCTCAGAAAAATGTTAGCATACGCAGTCAACCAATCTGCTACGTCATTCCTCTCACGATGGATATGTAAATATAAATGTTCCAATCCATTGCTAGCATGTCTCTGATACACATAATCAGCCCAGAGAAAGGATGGGAAGGGCAAATTCCTTCAAAATGAGATGCTAAGCTAATTATTAACGGATGCAGTGGATAAAGATGATACAACTTAACTTAATGCTGATACAGCCTAACTTAACTTCTAACTGATGCGTAACTTACGGATTCTGTTGTACAGTTAGTTAGTAGATTCAGTTAGTTAGTTGTTAAGCATAGTTAGCGTTAGCGTTTTGTTAATAGGCTTAGTGTATCGTAGAGGCTATAGCTTTCTTTTGTATATATACTTTGCACATTGCTTTATTCAGTAGGAATGAATCATTTCAATACAAATCTCAATATGGTATCAGAGCTACACAAAGGGCTCTGATAATCACGCAAACCGCTTATTCGTTTTCTTCGTTTCTTGCGTTTCTTCTTCTTGATTTCAATTGATATTCTTGAGTTTTGAGATGGCAAATCATGTTGCTGCTCCTGATTTTGTGATAAATCCGTCGAATCCGTATTATCTACATCCAAACGAGAGTCCATCGTTGATCCTAGTATCACCTCCATTGACAGGGAAGAATTATCATACCTGGTGTCGTGCTATGACTGTATCATTGATTTCTAAAAACAAGTTAAGCTTTGTTGATGGATCCATTATGGCTCCTGATCCAACAGATCCACTTTTTCCTTCTTGGCAGCGTTGCAACACAATGGTCCTTTCATGGATCCGTCGCTCAATAGCAGAAAACATAGCTCAATCAATAATCTGGATTGAACGAGCATACGAAGCATGGAGAGATCTGAGTGATCGTTTCTCACAGTCAGACATTTTCAGGATTACTGAAATTCAAGAAGACATGTACAAGCTGCAACAAGGTGATAAGAGTATTAGTGATTATTTCACACAGTTGAAGATCCTATGGGATGAGCTTGAGAATCTCAAGCCATCACCAAGGTGTAGATGTATTGTACCGTGTAATTGTGGAGCCTTGACACTGGCAAGGACACAGAGAGATAATGATTACGTAATTCGTTTTCTAAGAGGATTAAATGAGCAATATGCTCAGGTGAGATCACAGATAATGCTTATTGATCCACTTCCCAATGTGAATCGAGTGTTCTCAATGGTTACACAGCAAGAACGTCATTTGCAAGTTGGTAGCATCAATGAAGTTCAACCTGATGCAGGTATTTTTGCTAATCTAGCAAGTCAAAACACCTTCCAGAGAGGAGGTGGCAGCTACAATCGAGGTCGTGGACGTTTCAATTCCTATGGAAGAGGCCAAAACAGTGGAGGAAGACTTTGTACATACTGTGGCCGCATAAATCACACTATAGAGACTTGTTTTCACAAACACGGGTTTCCACCAAGTTTTAGGAGCAGGAACAATCATTCTGCAAATTATGCAGAAGTTGGTGAAGAACCACATCAAGAGGCTCTCTCTTTTACTCCAAATGTTTCTTCTCAGCATCCTTTTTCACAGGAGCAGTATCAGCAAATTCTGAGTATGATACAGAATCAACCACAAGAGACCAATCCTGATCCACATACCTTGAACTTTGCACAATCCTCTGCTAATCAGGTAGACACAGATATGCAACCATCCCACACTCAATCAGGTAAAATTCCAATCCAGTGGTTACTTGACACAGGGGCCACAGATCACATATCACACGATATTTCCCAATTTTGTTTCCTTCAAAGGATAAAGCACACACTTATCACTTTACCTAATGGTCATCGAGTCATAGCCACACATTCTGGCACAATAAAATTGTCACCTCAGCTTATTCTCCTTGATGTGTTATATGTTCCTAATTTCCATGTCAATTTAGTATTTGTTACTAAATTTCTGAAAACTACTGCATTCACACTAATTTTTTCTGGTCCATCTTGTTACCTGCAACAGCCCCATACCAAAGTGATGACTGGTTTTGCTAGGCAGCAAAATGGGCTTTATGTGATAGATCTTGAAGGTACGGGTAAATCAACCTTCCAATACACTGCAGCTTGCTATACGATTTCTAAGTCAAATAAAGACACTCTCCTTTGGCACAGACGACTTGGGCACATCCCTACAAAACTGATGCAGCAGATGTCCATTACTTTCCCTTGTATTAGTTGTTCTGAATTACTAGAACCTTGTGATGTATGCTTTTATGCTAAACAGAAAAAGCTACCTTTTGTATCAAGCTCTACTAAAACCAATAAACCTTTTGATTTGGTCCATGCCGACATTTGGGGCCCTTGTTCATTATCCTCAATTCATGGTGAAAAATATTTTTTAACGCTAGTTGATGAATTTTCCAAGTTCACATGGGTGATCTTGATGAAGAACAAAAGTGAAACCCGAAACCATATCCAACACTTTATTACACTCATTGCAACCCAGTTTAATACTACCATTAAAACCATTAGAAGTGACAATGGCAATGAATTTAAGATGAAAGACTATTTTCTCAGCAAAGGCATAATCCATCAAACATCCTGTGTTGCCACTCTTCAGCAGAATGGGGTACTGGAGCGCAAACACCAACACCTCTTGAATATAGCTAGATCATTATTTTTTCAAGCCCATTTACCATCTACTCTTTGGCCTTACACAATTATCCATGCTACCCATTTGATAAATAGAACTATTACTCCCTTATTGTCTAATCTTTCCCCTTATGAAATGCTTTACAACATCAAACCTGATCTTACACACCTCAAGGTTCTTGGCTGTCTATGTTTTGCCACAACTAACACTGCTCATCGCACCAAATTTGCCCCACGGGCCATCAAATGTGCTTTCCTTGGTTACAAACAAGGAACTAAGGGATTCATTGTTTATGATCTAGCTTCCCATCAAATCCATATCTCTCGAAATGTTACCTTTTTTGAACATCATTTTCCTTTCCAAAAGGCTGATACCCCATTCCTTGTCACCACACATTTTCATCCTCTTTATGATGTTCCTTCTATCATTCCTCCAACACCTCAACCACAACCACACCTTCACCCTCAACCACAACCACTTCCACAACCACAACCACCTCCACAATCCACACATGTTGATCCTCACCCTTTACAGGATCCTTTACTTGTTCATACTGCTTCACCACGTCGATCCACTCGCCCTCACCATCCTCCTCGCTATCTTCAAGATTATCACACTGATCTGCTTACTGCCAAGCAACATCATTCACATGGAGGTATGATCTCTTCTTCTCATGCTTTATCTACTCCATATCCTTTGTCTAACGTGTTATCCTATTCACATTGCACACCACCTTATAAAAAATTTTGTCTTACGGTTTCTGCCAACACTGAACCTCACACATATGCCCAAGCTATAAAACATGTTCATTGGCAACAAGCTATGCAATCAGAACTTGCTGCCCTTGCACTTAACCATACTTGGTCTCTTGTTGATTTACCTCCTGGCAAGCTTCCCATTGGTTGTAAATGGGTTTTCAAAATCAAATATCATGCTGATGGCTCCATTGAACGCTATAAGGCTCTTTTAGTGGCCAAGGGGTTCACTCAACTCGAAGGTGTTGATTACTTCGACACATTCTCTCCTGTTGCAAAGGTCACGACCATCAGGGCTCTTCTCTCCATTGCTGTAGCGCAGGGCTGGCACCTTCACCAGTTGGATGTAAACAATGCTTTCCTCCATGGTGATCTCCATGAGGAAGTGTACATGTCTCTCCCTCCTGGTCTTTCCTCTTCCGAACCTGGTCAGGTTTGCCGTTTACACAAGTCTCTCTACGGCTTGAAACAAGCCAGCCGTCAATGGCATTCCAAGTTGTCTACGGCTCTTCTCTCCCTTGGCTATCTCCAATCATCTGCAGATCACTCCCTCTTCACCCTTCGACGTGGCTCAGGCTTTACTGCTCTCCTTGTGTATGTCGACGATATTGTTCTCTCGGGTAATGATCTGGATGAAATCACGCGTGTCAAATGCTTTCTGGATGACCATTTTAAGATCAAGAATCTGGGCAATCTTCGCTACTTCCTTGGTCTTGAAATCTCACGATCGTCTACTGGTTTATCTGTTAATCAAAGAAAGTATGTGTTGGAGATTTTATCTGACGCTGGGCTTCTAGGAGCCAAGCCTATGGCTACTCCGATGGACTCTTCATGCAAACTCACCTCATCCTCTGGCTCACCTTTGGAGGACCCTTCTTCTTATCGTAGACTCATTGGCAGGCTCCTATACCTCACTACAACGCGTCCTGATATTGCCTTCGCTGTTAATCGCCTTAGCCAGTTTGTTTCTCAACCCTCTGACGTGCATTTACAGGCTGCACATAGGGTGCTTCGTTACCTCAAAGGCACGCCCACTTCTGGTCTGTTTTATTCGGCTACCAATGACCTCAGTTTACGTGCTTTTGCTGACTCCGATTGGGGTGCTTGTTCGGAGTCTCGCAAGTCCATTACTGGCTACTGTGTCTTCTTAGGCACTTCCGTTATCTCCTGGCGTTCCAAGAAACAACATACAGTCTCTCGCTCCTCGTCTGAGGCGGAATACCGTGCGCTGGCTTCTTTAACGTGTGAACTTCAATGGTTGCAGTTCCTTCTCTTGGATCTTGGTCTCTCTTGGCATCGCCCAGCTTCTGTCTACTGTGATAGTCGTTCTGCCATTGCTCTTGCGCATAATCCTGCCTTCCATGAGCGTTCCAAACATATCGAGATTGACTGCCATGTCACTCGCGAGAAGATCCGTTCTGGCTTGCTTCATCTTTTACCCATTGCCTCATCCGCTCAACTGGCTGATTTCTTCACCAAGCCTCTCCCTTCGGTCCAGTTTCGCCTCTTGCTCTCCAAACTTGGCGTTCTTGATGTTCACCGCCCAGTTTGTGTGGGGGGGGTATTAACGGATGCAGTGGATAAAGATGATACAACTTAACTTAATGCTGATACAGCCTAACTTAACTTCTAACTGATGCGTAACTTACGGATTCTGTTGTACAGTTAGTTAGTAGATTCAGTTAGTTAGTTGTTAAGCATAGTTAGCGTTAGCGTTTTGTTAATAGGCTTAGTGTATCGTAGAGGCTATAGCTTTCTTTTGTATATATACTTTGCACATTGCTTTATTCAGTAAGAATGAATCATTTCAATACAAATCTCAATACTAATAGGGAACCCTCTTCTACCCATATGTTCCTACAACCTTTATTCCAAGCAACCTCCAATTCCAACAGAATGGCCTAAAGCTCTGCGTTGAGAGTTGTTCCACTTCTTACGTTCTTGCAAAAATCAAAAATCCAATCGTCAATGTTGTTACGAAAAACACCTCGACAACCCATCAACATAACTGGTTTACACCTCCATAACATGACTATTACAAAATTAAATAAAACAAAAAACAAAAAAAACAATTCAAATACATATTCCCCATTTATGTCCGTACTTATTTTGCATTTATGAAATTAAAGTAAAACAAAAAAAATGAGATTTTGAATTAAATTGATTCCTAACATGAATCTATATATTATTTAAAGCTCTAAAGTGGATCATTAGGATCTCGCTTTAAGGTCATGTTCATTCATAATACAGGTTCAATGTCACCTTAATTTCTTTTTGTCCATCTTTATTGATATGAACCAAAATCAGTTTTCAAGATTGTTATTTTTAGGTGAAATTTTGTAAAACATTCATTAACTTCTTCTTTTTTGTGAGGAAAAGAATAAGAAAAAAGGAACAGGTGATTTTTTTTCTATTTTTTTTCAGAAAAAGATGCGTAAAAATTTTGATGTAAGAATGATATCTTTGTTAATTTTGAGTAAGACAGAAGTGGAGCAATAAAAACATTAAAATCAATTTTTTATGATAAAAATGATAATTTTAAGAAAGTGTATACATGAAATGACGATGTGCATGTTTTTGTAGATGTTTATCCAACTCAAACTCATTTTAGAGGGTGCAAACGGGGTTTTGTTCACAAATTGATGTTTGGCAAAATTACAATTGAAGTGTGTGATTGATTTAGTTTCAAACTATAATCTGAGGGTAAGTAAAAGAGAGTTGCTTTTACGTTTGATTAGAAATGTTTCTCGCAAAAATTATAACTTTTTAGATTAAAATATCTGAACACAAATTATTATATCATTAAAAAAATTCTTTTAATTAAAACTAAGTACATCTTTAATTTTGTAAACTTTAACTTAAACATACAACAAATAATGTAACATGGAATGTAATGAGAAAACGTGGAAGCGGGTGGTGAAATGTATAAGTGGAATTTGAAATGATGCAATTGTTTGGAAGATAAGAAAATTGGGATATGCTAAGATTTGGGGAGAAAACGTGAAATGGATGGTGAAATGTTATCGAATCGGAATTCAGTTGTAATTTAGGAAGGGAAAAAAGTGCAAAAGTTAAACATAAAAATAAAAACCTAACTCTAGAATTGTGATATGTGAAATTTCAGTAATAATATTTGAGAGTAATAAAAGAACTTTCAAAAAAATATGAGCAAAGTATTTTGGAGTTCTCGACGAAAATTAAGAAGCCCTCTATAATCTCTTAGCTTTTAAAAATATGAATAAAGTGTCTTTTGAATTTCCAACAAAAATCACGAAGCCCAATTATAATTCCTTAGGAAAAACAAGTTGACTTATTCATCTAAAATTCAAAATGAATTCAATTAGTTGAAATTGTGATCCTTCTAAAATTTAAAGAAAATCTATATTAGTCTCTTAAAAAGACTAATATGAATCAATTTTAAATTTTAGAAAGACCATAAATTAATTTTTTTTTCCTAAAAAATTGAGTAACCAAATGATACTTCATTCAAAATATATATCAAACAAGATAAGTGCTGAAGCCATGCGACGCAATGGGAATAAAAGTATAACATGCTCCAAGCCTATATTTTATTGTATATTTGACGGATTTAATCTCTCACTAAATTGATGGGTACGGCATCTTTCAAGGTATCTATCTATCTACTGTTTCTTGGATTCCTTGGTGCTGGGGTTAATTTAAGGGACAAAGTTTCAAAAGCGAAAGAAACTTTGTCCACTGAAACAACGCATTGGTCATTATCCAAACGACAAAATCATTTAATATGATAGAATTGAGGGAGAGAAAGATAGTGCTTGTATTGATTTTTTAAAAGCAACTTTAGTATACAGAACATGATCAATCTACAATAGTAAATGAAACCTGCTGCAAAATTGGTTTAAAAAATCCAAAAGAAATCAAAAGGCAAACAAATCAATATGATCACGGTGGTGATCCCAACAATCATGTTCCCAACCCACTCTTACACGCTCACCTCACCTCCCTACCCCACCCCACCTCTTTAATTTCTTCGTTTAGCTTTTTCTCGTTTCGATGGATTAGAAACAAAAAATCTGTTCAAACACAAAGGAAAGCACAAAATCCATAATAAATGAATCAAACTATAGCAAATTACCAAGCGATTTGTTAAGCAACGTATTGAAATCGGTAACTAATTTTCAACAATTTCGATCCAACGCAGGAGCCAAATTTTGCAGCTATGTGAGTGGCTAGGAGCAAAATTTGGAGCTCGAATTAGTACAACCCGAATCCATAACTTGATACAAGTATGGAATTCATAATTTTATCACATATATTCTAGCTCACTGATTCACTGTTATTCTCCAGTTATGTCCATTGACCACTTATCATGATGAACAAATTAAAGGCCTCGGAAATCTTATATATTTTGAACAAAAGACACGCAGGGAAAGAATGTTAAACGCACAGAAATCAAGTTTAATATAATTTATTTCATTACACATTAAACAGTCTCGATTATCTGTATACATCAAAGTCAAGGAAGATCGCTTCTTAATTTCATTATCCATAACATATTTGAACGCACAATTCTAATAACCCGCATATATAAAATTACAATATATCACTTACCAAGAAAGATAAGACACGTTGATTTGATTTTTCTCAAGGCCTCAAAATTAAGGTATTTTGTTTCCACTTTCACTATTTGGTCTTCACTCTTCAGTCAAGAACTGCTCCGGTACTCTTCTTCCCTTTACCTGTCCTTCTCCTGCTGGTGGTTCCAGCGACACAATCATGACGGAGATTTTCTTCGTTGGACATCAACGGCAAGTCGTTGGCATCTTCTCCGTCTTCTACAGTAGCGATGCGGATGCAAGAGCAATGATTTAAGGATGCAAAAAAAGCCATTGTGACACCGTTGATGAACCACATGGCCACCCCATCTAGCTTTCTGCAACCAGAAGAGCCTTGGCTCGACGACGACGACGAACCCCGGACCCTGGACTCAACGGTATTTGATGATCGGAGACTGAAGAAGCCGCTGCAACTGGCAGAGGTAGTGGCAGCCATGGAATCCACGTTGAAATGGCCACACCCAAAAACCAATTAGGTAGAGCTTAAGAAGCTTCAGGTTCGTAGCTAATGATGGACTCTAGCTTGGTTTAATTATTTATTATTATTATTATTATATTATGGTGTCCGGCGTGTATCATTACAATTTATGGAATTGAAAGCTTCTCTTTTTATTTTATTTTCAGATATCTCATTTTTACCGTTTACTCCGTAGTTTGTACGCATGTATACGCACGCGCGAAAAAGAAGAAGAAAGAATTAATGACTTTTAAAAAAAAAACAATCAATATACTCTATGTCGTGTTGCATCTAACATAAAATACCCGCTAGCTGCTGCTCTTCTTTAAACTATTTCTTAAATTTAAGCATAAGTTATGTTGACAATTAATGTTCAATAACAACATCTTATGTGGCGAAGTAACTTAATTACATTCTCAATTTCTAGATGATGAATTTCCAGTTAGATTAAAATATATATCACCGTCATGAAACATCAATCATGCACGTATAGTGGATTAATTGTCATGCGTATAGAACAAGATGTGGATGACAAGGAGCTATACTTTCTTAAAGGTTCATGATTGCCTTTGCTTCTGGATTTGTTCATGTTTTATAATTTGGTTTTATTATTTAGTGGGCTTCCCGGTAGGTAAAGTTAGGGATTTAAATTAATCTTCCAAAAAATTGCAAGAGAATATAATTTTTTTTTTAGATATATATATTATTTTCGCAATTCTACCCAAATGTGGTGAAGGTTTAAGAACTCTGCAACAGTGTTTTTCCAAGTTATCTTGGGTTATATAAATGACATTTTTCACTCATAAAAAGTCACATTTTAATTTTCTATAATTAAATTTAAGGAAAAATATTTTTACTTTTGTCATATAAATTTTTTTCTGTCATATTTACATAAAATTGTGTTGGCCTCATTTTAAAAAAAGAAAAAGAAAAAGAAAATTAATGGAATCCATTCATTTTATATGAGTGTGATAGAAAAAAACTTGTGTAAACAAAGTCAAAAATATTAAACATTTAAATTTATTATAGTACTACGGTTAGTTTTTTTTATACAAATTCGCGTTTAATTCTATGTCTTTATGTAATTATTGCCCCTTTTTATTAAAAGATTGAAATTAGACCCAGCAAAATGGTGCCACTTCATTCCTAAAAACATTTGTACTATAATTTAATGGGAAAAATAAGTATTATGTTGTAGGAAAATTCTTAAGTCATGTCATAGAGACAATGAGACCACTATTTTTAAAATAAAAAAAAGTAAAAGAATTGATGGGTTCACTTTTATGTGTCTGTAGGAAAATTGGTTGTGTCATGTGGAAGAAGTAAAATATTACCCTAATTTAATTTATAATATAGGGTTCGTTTTTTCTGCCATAGATAAGATATACAGATAAGTTATCTGCAGTAGCTCTAATACGACATCATTTTGGGATGAAAATCATGGTATTTTTGTAATTTTAATTTATTCCAGGGTTATCATAATCTTTATAATTATAATTATTTAATTTTTTAATCTCAAAATAACGTCGTTTTAAGAATAAATACAGATAACTTATCTGCATTAACTACAAAAATATTATTTTGTATAATATAAGGTCAAATTTTATGGGTTTTTCCGTATACTGTCAAATCTTAGTTTTGATGTTTAGTTTATCTTTTTTTCAGCATCGAAATTTAATTTTAACATGGGCCTTATGTATGTCATGTTAACAAAAAAAATTGTAATTTCCCACAGACAACATAGGTGAGACCTACTGGCTTTTTAGAAAAACAAAAAAGTAAAAGTTTGAGGCACATAATTCGATCAGTCTATAACATGTTCTAAACAATTTTCTGCAACATGACACTTATAAATCTCTTTTAATATATGGGATATATATTTACGGATAGTTGTTTTTATTTTTGCATTTAAATTCATTAATGAAATGAACAATTACTTAGTTATTTAATTTTTTTAATAATTTTCAAGAATAAATTAAATGCTAGCATTTATATGCATCAAAAGTGGATTTTGGCATATTTCTATTCAAACACTAACCATTTACATTAATTATAATACTTAATTTTTAATTTGAAATCTAGATAATAAAATAATTGATTGGCAGACATATGGATGAGGGTTTATGTCTCTGCATGTATTATTAAGAAATAAATGCTTCATACAAAGATAATAAAGTCCGAATGATTTTACTTAGTAGCAGGTGTGATAATTTTATGACTCAGGACTTTTGTTCCCGTTAAGAACGGTTAACATCTTGTCATTAATTATATCCCGTTACAATGTAATTTTTTTTGTACTTTTTTCTACATGTTTTTTATTTTTTTTTAAATATTCTAATTGATTCATTGCTTACAACTAGTCTGATTCAGAGCGAGTTCTGGGATTAAGAGCCTGTTTGGATTCTCTCTTTTTTAATCTAGAAGCTACTTATAAGTTAAAGCTAAAAAAAAAAACTTAAAAAAAGCTAAAAGTTATTTGATAATTACATAAAAAATTTAGTTTAAAAGCGCATATTTTAAGAAAATTATCTTTCTCAATCTTTATAACTCTTCATTTTAAAAAATAGCACATAATTCAAGAAAAACAAATAAAAGCTAAAAAAAACTCCTCTGAAGAGCTTTTAGCCTTTTAGTTTTTTTTATTATAAAAAAAGAGTTTTTTTATTATAAAAGTTTTTCCCAAAATCTATTTGGCCTAGCTTATGCTTATAAGTAACTTCTAACTTAAAAAAAAGAGGATCTAAACAGGCACTAAGACTTTAAATTTCTCCCAAAGACGATACTAGAAAATTGAATATATACTTTCAATCTTTCACCTACTCAAATTTTCGATGCGAACTAAATTATCAATTTTTGATCTATCTCTCATTTCTTTTATCGTACAATACAATATCGGAAAGGTATGACCACTCTTGAGTGCTACTTTTCTATTGCGGTTCATTTTAAGGTCGTGCAAAACGTGAAAAAAAGAGAAAATTAAAATGTGTGATGTACAATCTCTATTATTACATGAGACAATTTTATAGTTTGGGAAAAAATTAAAATTTTACCTAGCTTCCCAGTAAGGTAAAGTTAGGGATTTAAATTAATCTTCCAAGGAATTGCAACAGAATATAATTTTTTTTTTTAGATATACAATTCGACCCAAATGTGATGAAGGTTTAAGATCTCTGCAATAGTGTTTTTCCAAGTTATCTTGGGTTATATAAATGACATTTTTCACTCATAAAAAAGTCATATTTTAATTTTTTACAATTAAATTTAGAAAAAATATTTTTACTTTTGCCATATATTTCATTTCTAAGGCCGAAAAACCAAAACAAATGTGTAGAAATATTGTAAAAATTAGTGGTACTGTGTTAATTGTAAAAAATATTGTAACAAAGCTTTCTAAGACCGCAAAACCATAAAAATCAGATTTTCATTTTTTACAATTCATTTTAAGGTCCGTGATAAATAATGTTAGTAGCTTTTGTTAGAAATTTTATATGTGGACAATATTAATTAATGGCTTTTGTATTTTCTAAAATAATCGGGTTAATGGATATTCCAATTTATTCTATTGTGATAAGCTCATTGTGATCATGTTGAGTTGGACTTTTGGCATCTTTTGGTATTGGGCCTAGTTGGCAGCACAATGTAGGCATTGGTGTCTAATTGGGCTTCTGTGATGGGTGGACCCATTAGACACACTGTTGATTAGGGTTTTGCTAGGTCCCCTCTCTAGCCTATTTATATTGGGGTTAAGCCTCATGAGCCGTCATGCTCCCATCGCTGAAGGCTGCCATTCTGAAATAGGTCATAGAGAGGAAGACTCTAGCTGTGACAATCAAAGTTCTTCGCTCAGTAAATAAGATGACCCAATCAGGTATACAAATTTCTTTCAGAGTAAAAATTATTATGTGGTGTTTTATATATCATACATATATCGATCTTAGTGTTAAAAATTTCTTACATTTGGTATCAGAGCCTAACTTGTATGATTATAAAATCCACGTTTTATTCTGATTTGAAGGCATATTCTTTTTTGAAATCTGTGTTGAATAAATCGTCCCTTTCATTTTGATCGGTATCAATTTTCTTGGATGTTTTGTTTTATAATCATCGATTTAAAATCCATGTCCTCTGCAAAGGTGAATGCCGTACCAATTTTTGGAACGAATTTGAAGTATGTTTTATGATTACCGTCTCGATTTCCATGATGATTGTGATTCAGTTTGTTGCACAGAAAGTATAGTTGTGATTTAAAAATTATTTGATTATATATATTGTTTTATCAAAATTAATAGCTGATTGTCGATTATTTTCTGATTTTGGAAACCCCAGATTTTGTACGGTCTTGTAAATCAAATATATATATATAATCAAATAATCAAATGGTAATGCTGATTGACCTAGGAATCACAATAACATATATATTCTAATACGAACAATTGAGAACTAATACGAACAATAACATATATATTTGATCTAATATTGTCAGATAGTATATATTATCTTATCGGAAAACGTAAACTCTTTTATATATACTTATAAAAGCCGTCGTGATCGTAAATCTCAAATTGTCGTTTTACGTGAATTGAATTATTTATATAAAGTTTCAATTGTTTTACTGTGGATATATATATATATGTTTTGATTTGAATTGTTTGATTGGAATTGCCGAATATTTTGTATGTGATATTTATCCAATATACAATTCAAGTATATATTTATTTTATTGCGTGAATATATGCTATTCAGATTTTATTACATGTTAATTTTAAGCCAAAATTAACAAACATTTAAGTGTTTAATCCTTGGAATATTTGTGAATCATTGATATATTATTTGCAATTTTATCGGCGCAATATATATTTTTGTGAAATTATTATGTAAAAATATATATGCTCGAATAGTGAAAATCTAAATTACTGAAAAATTATTTTGATTTTGTTTGTTGTCATAACACTGTTCATGGTTTGAATTTAGATTCACAATTATTGTTTGATGAATTGTTTTGGTTTCAACAAAATTGTTTTGTAAACTTGATTTTTTAGTTTCAATGAATTTGTTGACACTATGATG